TCTTTCGGCCCCGAGCTGCTCGCGGCATGCGGCGCAGCAGACGGTCTGCAGGCGCGCCATTTCACGCCGCGCGCGGTCGCGCGCGGCGCCGCCTCTGCCGAGGAGATCAGGGGGCTGAGGGGGGAAGGGTTGCGCCATCCCTGCAGACGCTCACCAAATCAGCTCACCAAACGCTCACCAAATCAGCTCACCAAATCATCTCTCTACTGATCGACTTCCGACGCTCACCAAATCAGCATTCCAGCGACCAACCTTTAGCATCCGACTCTCGATTTCTACCTCCACCAATCGACCTCCGCCCTCCGCCAGCACAACATCCCGACCTCAAATCTCTAGCCTCCGACTTCCCGCTTCCACCGCTTATGGGTCTTCGGCTGCGCGTGTATCTGCGCCCCGAATGGTGCTTGAAGGATGTGTCAAGGAGCTCGTAGGAGCACGAGTGATCCTGCGCCCGTGTGCGTTGGATTGGAGTTCCGAGGCGTTCAACTCACTCGCGTTTGGTTCGGACTCCGCGGCTGCAGAAAGGACGATGACATCCGCGGGATTCTCCGCCAGGTTCGCGCCGCGGACGCTACGACTTCAACGAGACTACGTCACTACATTGGATTGCAACAGAGGAGCAGGGACATTTGTAACACCACATCGTGAGGCGCGCGTTATCCCGAGCAAGCCTCCGACGCGCGCTGCCTCTTATGCGAGGCCATGGCCTCGCCCGCCTCGCCCTCGGTGAGCCCGGGCGCATGCCCGCGCAGGCGATCCGATCCGATCCGATCGCCATAGACGGCGCGTCCGTCTTCAGCGCCCCGGCTCCGCCGCCGTCGGAGAACGGCATGGCTGGCAACCTGTGGTGGCTAGCCGCCCAGCTGCGCACCGAGCAGATCGACGCCCTGTGCTGGCGCGACACTCGGGACATGCGGGTCGACCCCTTCGCCGATGACATCACGGTCCGACAGCGTGGCCCGAGGGCGCGATGGGCGGCCATGTCAGCTACGAGCACGCCGCGGTCTAGTTCGGCGACGAGAGGCTGAAGAAGGCCGTCCTGAGCTCACAGCATTGTTCGTTAACGGAGGTGGCTCTCGTGACTCTGCGCTACGAGGTCGCGCGGAGTCGGAGAGCGGATATTCGACATCAAAGTGCGAGATTGACGAGTAGAGCACTTGAATGAGCGGGTTTGTGCTCGGACTGTGTCCAGGCAGGTCGCGGTTGTTTTGGCGGCGCTCCCCAATGATTTCGCATCCTTCGGGTGGGGGGGTCGGTTCGCCAGTTTCGGCTGGTCTCGCGCGCCCTGGCGGGGGTGCTTCCATCCCCCCTTCCACTGGCAATGTTTTTTCCCCACATGTTTCGGGGGTCGTTTCTTCCCTCCCGCGCCCCGCCCGCGAAGCTCACCCACCTCCCTCGCGGGCTCGCGCATCGTGGCAGGGGCGGCAAATTCCCGACACCATAAGGGGTGCGCAGGTTGTGGTCTCTGAGCGCGGCCGCTATTCGAGCCAGTCGTCCAGGGCATCGGACGCCATAAGGGGGGTTGCAGGATGTGATTTCTGAGCGCGGCCGCTATCCGAGCCAGTCGTCCAGGGCGTAGCAGGCGCGGCACTTTCTCGAGGCCATGAGTATGGGGGTGTGTAGGGCGTGGTGTCTGAGCGCGGCCGCTATCCGAGCCAGCCGTCCAGGGCGTAACAGGCGTGGCATACCTTTGTAACTTCCTAGGGGGTCCGCAGGCTGTGGTCTCTGAACGCGGCCGCTATCCGAGCTGGTCGCCCAGGGCGTAGCAGGCGCGGCATAGTCTCGACGCCATGGGGGGGTTGCAGGTTGTGATTTCTGGGCGCGGCCGCTATCCGAGCCGGCCGTCCAGGGCGTAGCAGCTCGGCACTTTCTCGAAACAACGTCGGGTGCGCAGGGGGTGGTCTCTGAGCGCGGCCGCTATCCGAGCCGGTCGTCCAGGGCATAGCAGCCGCGGTATTTTGTCGACACCATAGGTGGTGCGCACTGGGTGGTCTCTGAGCGCGGCCGCTAGCCGAGCTGGTCGTCCAGGGTAAAGCGGGCGTGACGTGTTCCCGACTCCACAGAGGGGGGGCGCAGGGCGTGGTCTCTGAGCGCGGGCGCTATCCGAGCTGGTCGTCCAGGGCGTAGCAGGCGCGACATATTCTCGACGCCATAAAGGGGGGCTGCAGGTTGTGATTTCTGAGCGCGGCCGCTGTACGAGCCGGTCGTCCAGGGCGTAGCAGGCGTGGCATGCCCTTGTAACTTTAGGGGGTCCGCAGGTTGTGGCCTCTGAGCGCGGCCGCTATCCGAGCCGGTCGTCCAGGGCATAGCAGGCGCGGCATAGTCTCGACGCCATACGGGGTTGCAGGTTGTGGTTTCTGAGCGCGGCCGCTATCCGAGCCAGTCGTCCATGGCGTAGCAGGCGTAGCACTTTGTCCACACCATACGTGGTGCGCAGGGGGTAGTCTCTGAGCACGGCCGCTAGCCGAGCTGGTCGCCCAGGGCATAGCGGGCGCGACATGTTCTCGACACCATAGGGGGGCGCCGGGCGTAGTCTCTGAGCGCGGGCGCTATCCGAGCTGGTCGTCCAGGGCATAGCAGGCGCGGCATATTCTCCACGCCATCGGGGGTTTGCAGGTTGTGATTTCTCATCTCAGCACGGCCGCTATCCGAGCCGGCCGTCCAGGGCGTGGCAGGCGTGGCATATTCTTGCATGTTCAGGGGGTCCGCAGGTTGTGGTCTCTGAGCGCGGCCGCTATCCGAGCCAGTCGTCCAGGGCGCAGCAGGCGTGGCATTTTTTTTACACCATACGGTGTGCGCAGGGGGTGGTCTCTGTGCGCGGCCGCTATCCGAGCCAGTCGTCCAGGGCATAGCAGGCGTGGCGTTTGCTCGATACCGCAGGAAGTGCGACGGGGGCTGTCCTTGAGCGCGGCCGCTATCCGAGCCTGCCGTCCAGGGGTTGCGTAGAGGGGATGTTTGTTTCGAGCAACAGTCTCTTGCTCTGGCCGCCAAGGGTGATCATAGACGCGGTGACTTCCTGTCATGGCGCCCAAATGTGCCACGTCCGCGCCGCCGCCTCCGTGCGAGCAGTTCAAGAACTCAGTGCTAGGGATGGGTGCCGAGGTTCGTTTAGATTGTTTGCGTGCGTATGTTGACAGGCATGGGAACCGCTTGATATGCTACGCATATTTTGCTCACCAGCGACAGCTTCTCAACTGCTGCCCGAGACGCTCCTCGCCAGGTGCAGTCAGATGCCGCGCCAACGAGGCGCCGATGATGCCGGGGGGGCAGTGTTTGGTGAGGTATTTGATGATTTCTTTGGGCTGATTTCTACGAGGCGTTTCTTCCGATTTGGTGGGGGGGAGGGGGCGGGCGATGGCCCGCCGCCCCTGCATTCGGGGGAGCGTAAGACCCGGGTTTGCCGGGACTCGGGTTCGCCATCGTTTTTTGACGACCGCGCCTCGGATTTTGACGAGGAGGAGTTTCGTGGGATGTCTGCAGCGGGAGGCCTCGTCAAAATGCAGGCTCGGCCTCGTCATTTTTTTGACGACCACGTCGGGGATTTCCGAGTCCCCTGTGCCCAGGTCTTACGTTCCCCTGACTGCATGTTCGGCGAGCGCAGGAGGCTGGCATCGCGGTTGCTGACCCGGCGCCGCCCTGAGGACACCATGCCGCTCCCGCGAAGACCGCGCCTGTGAAGGGCGCGCCAACGATGGCCTCGCCCGCGTGGGCTTTCACTCCGCAGCGGTCTCCGGCAGTCCTGTTGGCTATTTCTGTTCGGTCCACTGGCGCGCCTCGAATTCAGGTGTCCCCGGGCCCAGCGGAGATCGACCGCCGTTGGTCGCATGGGCCATGGTCGCGGGAATTGCGAGAATCAATCCAGCTAGTGAGCCTGTCGTCACAAGCGCATTCGAAAGCAGCCAACTGGTGCACTGAGTTCGCGGCCAAGCGATCTGCTGATCTGGAGTGCTGGCTTTCGAGGCGGCACGGCGATGCAGCCTTGTGGCAGGAGCTGCGCATGCGCTCTACAAGCGCAAGATCCTGCAGAGTGGATGCGCCTACCCCTCGTGTCTTCGCATTGCAGCCCGACGTGCTTGGCGGAGCTAGCGCCGAGTTCCACGGGGGGGTTAGCGACGTCGCCCCGCGGCGATGGACGTTTCGAGCCGCCGCGGGGCATCGTGGTATTGACTCTTTGCGCGACGCGGAAGGCGTCGCCCGCCGCGCGCGCCAGGCGGCCCTGGCAGAAAGGCTGGATGGGGTGAAATTCCTCTACGCAACTGACCAGGGGGACCCGCGCCCCGACCCCGTCAGGATCAAGCGCATCACGTAGGTCCTCGCTGCCGGGGCGGACTTCAGAAGGATGAGACACGCCCGCGCAGATTCTTTCTCGTTCGCAAGGGAGAGAGAGTATTCGATGTCTTCGCCTGCGTTGCAGACGACCTGTCGCACCTCCCCCTGGCGTCTGGGTGCGCACCTAACTTCGGGAATACGTGCTACCTCGACGCCGTGATGCAGGCCCTGATCCACTGCAAGCCGTGGAGGCTTCGGGCTTTTTTCAATCCAAATGAGCGCTTCGTTCCGCGCAGTTGCTCTGGCGCCGCGAGCTCCATGAAACGTCGCATTGCCTTTTAAACACGTCCCTGGGCGACCGCTGAGCTCTCCGATTCAGTGTTCGGTTACCGCGGCTAGCGACTTCAGTCGTTGGGTACGACATGTTTTGGAAACCGCCTTCGCCATTCCCCCCTGCCCCAGAGGCTTGTCTCCGAAGGTTGTGTCCTTTCGCATTTCTCGTTTTCTCTGATCTGATCAGAGGCTTTCCGCCCAAGATCGCGTTCCTTTGCGTTCGTTGCCTCGTTGGCGCCGCATATCGCTTTCCATGCGTATTGGACAACAGCTTATTCTTATCTCCTGTCCACTCTCCTCCCTCCTCTCCTCTTGACTGGCGTCACCAATGGATTCGGTGGGGTAACGGCCACGACCGTCGTTCACTTCGGCTATCATCACTCCAGCCAAAATGCAAGTATGTGGGGTTCCTCGATAGCGTAATATCGGTTTTCGTTTTGTTGAGGGGCCGATGTGCCCTAGGGATGGAGCGAAGGCCGCCAACCCAGGGACATGTAGAATTCCGGTGAACCTGTAATTTTGCGGCGACGCAACTTTTTATGAGAAAGGCGGTCAGTATCCTTTTGAACACGAGGCTCGAATGGTAGGGTCTCCTGCTGCCTTGTTAGTTTCTCACCCTTGTTGGCCTGCTGCGTCGTCTTGGTTGGCTCAAGGCCTGGTCCGTGCACCGTGCCCGCCTAGGACGCGCCTTAGTTGTATTGCGCCAAGTGTACATTCATCTTTCATCCGTTTACGACTACCGTCTGCCCATTTACGTCATCATTTTTAGTCGCCCCCCTTCCTTCGCCTCCAGTTCGTTCTCATTGTCATCCTCGTCCTTCTCCCTTTTCTTTTTCCTCCTCGTCCTCCTCCTCCTCGCCCTCCTCCACTCCCTGGTCCTCGTCCCCCTCCTCCTCCTCCTCCTCCTCCTTCCCCGTTCCCCCCATTTCCCGTTTTTAGCCTTCTCCTCTTTCTTCTCCTCCTCCTGCCCCTTCTCCCCTCCTGTTCCTCCTCGTCCTCTTCTTTTTCCTCCTCCTCCTCCTCCTCCTCGTCCTCCTCCTCCTCTTCCTCTTCCTCCTCCTCCTCCTCGTCATCCTCCTCCTCCCTTCCTCGTCCCCCCTTCCTCCTCCCCTGTTCTTTCTCGAAAGCACTCCAGTGATGAGGGCCCCGCCCGCCCCTGCGCGCCAGGCCCTACCCACCGGGGCCACGCACAGCACCGTGCCGGTGCCGTCCGCCGTCCCGACGCAGGCGGCCAGGGCATGGTCGGGGGCCACGAAGGGCTGCAACACGATGGGCAGCGAGGGGGTCACGAAGGGCTGCAGCGGGGCCAAGAAGGGCAGCGAGGGGGCCACGAGGGGCTGCAGCGGGGCCAAGAAAGGCAACGAGGGGGCCACGAAGGGCTGCAACGGGGCCACGAAGGGCAGCGAGGGGGCCACGAAGGGCGACCAGAGGACGAGGACAAATCCGTTCCAGAGCGTTCCGGGGCGCTCCCAGAGTTTTGAGAAGACCGCGGCGCCCGAGACATCTTCCAGGTCCGCCGGATTTGAGAGGTTCTCGGTATATCCTCGCCCGAGTTTATCTTCGGCCTAGCTTCGTCTTGCGAGGGGGTCTCAAATCCAGACCCACTCGAGCCATGAAAAAACATCACGGCGGAGGGTGTTCTTGCGTTCTCTGCCTCCGGAGGCCCTTGCCGGGCCTCGGGATCGTCGAGAGGTGATTCAGGATGAAAAACCGGTCCTGGGGATGTGGGTCGAGACCGGCCCACGTGATGAACAGTGCATGACATCGGGGGTCTGGGAAGCGTCCTGATTCGCCCATAGGCCCACCAACCTAGGCCTCCCAGATGGGTCCCGAGTAGATGGGGTCGGAGGATCGCGCTGCATCGCCGACGCCTCTGCGATTCATCGGCGATGCGGCTGAATGTGGATCCTGGTTTCCTCCGTGCCGACGTCGTTGATGCACTCCCGGCGTCGCTGGGGCATCGCCGATACATCGGCGATGCAGCGGTGATCCGGCGCGATCCACCAGCTCCATCTGCTCGGGCCCCATCGGGGACCCCTCCCACAATAGGCCCAGCAGAGAACGTTCTAATAACCCTTGTTGTGGTTGGTGACCATCCCATCGACCAATCGGCTTGATATTCTAAGACAGTTATTTTTGTCCTTGCAGCCTTTTGTTATAAACACAGCTTGTTAGGTGTGTTATGCGTGAATTTCACTCGAGGCATTGTTATCCCAACTTCTCTGGGTGAGACCCTCTTATTTTGACCAATCTGCTTTCTGTTCTGAGACTTGTTTTTGGCCTTGTAGTCTTTTGTTGCAACAACTGTTGTGTTGTGCGCGAACTTTATGTTAGGCATGTGTTGTTATTGTTTGCGTCTGTAACTGCTTCGTAATGGTTGTCAACATGCGCTCACAGGCGCTAATAGACACTTATAGTCGCCAGTAGGCGCTAATATGCGCTAGCAGGCGCCAATGGTCGCTAATGGAGGTGTTGGTAGACACCACTCGGCGCTGCTATGGCGGAGCCTGCTTCTAAAGTCACCCCCACACGCAACGCGTCGTAATGCCGACAACGTTCGTGGCAGGCCCGCAGGAATGCCAGGACGGCTGGTCCCTGCTCCACGGCTGGCGGCTGCAGCAGCTGGGAGGCATGAGCATTTCTAGTTGCATGACCTTAATCCGTAGTTTCCTAATTGCTTTGATTTGTTTGTGTTTGTCTTTTCATCACTTGCATGCTTTTGAATGGTTTCCAGTAGAAGACCCCCAGCTGAGGCGGCGGCAGGGCACCCCGACCCCCGTCGAGCTGTCCGTCCGGGGGCCGCTGGACTCCACTGGCGGAGGAATTACAGTGGTTTGGCCTCCAAAAAAAAAGTTCCCCTAAATACAGTCGGGGCGCTGAGGAAGGAATCCTTTTCGTTGGGGAGGGGCTCGGTGTTCCTTGATTGTTTGACAGTTTGCCTTGGTTTTCCTCCGGATTTCCATGGGAAATCGAAGTTTCAATGATGGAGAAAATGGGCCTCGTTCCCTATTGATCGTTCCTTAGGTCAACGCCCCAAGTGTATTTTTTCACGCGCCAGCAAGGCAGGCATCGGGTGTCGGGGGGAGTCGCCGCGGTCGCCGCGGGTTTGGCTCCGAAGCCGGGCGACGGCTGGCAAGCCCGTTGCTTCTAAAATTTCGCTGCTGGAATGTGTTGCTTTTTCTTCCTGGAAGCAGCCTGTTTACTTCAAAGTGCGCGGAGCTTTCTTCCGGGAAGTTGTTCTTTCCTTCCTGGAAGTCTGTTTTAGCAGCCACGGATTTGCCAGCCCTCGCCCAGCTTTCGATTGGCCTCCAACAAAAAGCCCCCCCCTCCTCCTCCTCCTCCTCCTCCTCCTCCTCCTCCTCCTCCTCCTCCAGATGTGTGTCACGCACCAGCAAGGCAGGCATCGGCCGCCTCGGGGGGGAGTCGCCGCGGCCAGTCGTGCGGGAGGGGCTGCCCTTTGCATGGCCGTCGCGCTGGCACGGGCGCCGCTCCGCGTCCGAGCGTCACCGTCAACTCCGCCGCGGTGTCAGGGCCCCGACGACCCGATCTCTTTACCAGCCTCGAACTTATCCCTATCCCTAAGACTGACACGCCAAAAGGCGATGACAATCACAGGGGTGCGCCCTCAAAAAATATGGTCACCACCCACCGAACCACCCCAACCCAACCCGAAGGCCTCCTTTTGCCCTCCATTTCCAGTGTGGGGGGGTCGGGGAACATCGAACAAACACATACGGAGCCCATACCCCCCCAACCCGAAATTCGGGTCTTCGGGTTGGGTTGGGGTGGTCTGGTAGGTAGTCAAAGGGAATCTCTAAGATTGGCATCGTGATGAGGAGATGCCCTGCATAGGGGTAGGGGTATGTTCCAGGCGGGTGGCCCGCCCTCCGCCTCGCGGGCGCCAGCCTCGTGGAGGGGAGGCGTACTGCCACATGATTTCCAATTGTCTGAAACTCACAGGTGTGTCTAAGGTCGCAGGCCTAGAGAATGACACCAACACCAGTTTCGGCGGTGTGCCTCCACCGAGGGAAGAAGATCCCGATCTCGGCGATGGTGGTAATACTCTGGCTTCCAAGGTGGCCGAACTATTACCACCAACGCCGAAAATCTAGGATCACCTTCCCCCTGTGGAGGCACCCCCCTGTCTTGGTGTTGGTGCCAATTTCCAGGCCTCCGATAAGGTATGTTTGGACCATATCTCGAACACGCTCAAAGCATGCAGAAGACAACTACAAGACGCTTTCCAGTTCAATGACGGAGCACTTCGAGTATCCATCGTCGCGGCATCCACAACGCCGGCCTCCACGCCGCGCGGCTCTGCCTCCGCCCCGAGTCCTCTCCTCGCTCCGCGCTGCGCACCGCGGCCCCAGCCTCCGCCTCGCGTGGGGTTGGCCCCTCCCTCGGGCGGCGCCCGGGCGAGTGCACGCTCTGCCTCGGCGAGGACCCCCGAGGTGAAACTCCGGGATCCGCGGTCGAAACAAAATAGACGCGCGAGGCCCGAACGCAGACACGGGGGAGTGGGACGCCCGAGCGACCGCGCGCCGGTGCGGCGCGAGCTCCGCGGCCGCTCCCGCAGGCAGGCGCGCGCGCGTGCCCCTGCCGGCCTCTCCTGGGCTCTGGCCCGCGGGATCCCCCGGTTTCGGGCCCCCGGGGGGTGGAGTCGGGCCCGTCCCTCTGCAGGAGGAGTATTCGAAACTGGGTCCCAAAAGTAGTCCAGGGCCGACTTTCCTGCTACTCTCCTGAGTGTTCCGAAACATTTTGGGGTATGTTTCATGCTTCGTCCCAAATCCGCCTGCAGGAGGACATGCCCGACCCAACCCTGGGGGCCGTTCTCGGCCTCCCCGGGCTACCCACCAGGCGTGGATCCTCGGGAGCCTTGGGCCGGGGGTCGGTGCGAAAAGGGGGGCGGGAGCCTCGAGACTCAGGCAGTGGCGAAGCGTCCCGGCTCGCCTATAGCCCTACCAAACAATGTCCTAAGAACCTTTTGTGGTTTCCACGAAATGTTCCTAGAACATTTCTGGTTGATATTGTCCTGCTCTAACACATCGGGTCTATGTTCTAAGAACCCTGGGTTCTAAGGACATTTCGTGGTAGGACTATAGGAATGCCGGGACGGTCGGTCCCTGCTCAATTGACACGGGGGTCAACGCAAACGGGGGTCAGCCAGAGCGCCCGACCTTGCAGGATCCTGCAGGGCCAGGGTCGTGCCGACCCGGGTTTGGGTGCAGGATCCTGCGGGATCCTACAGGATCCTTGGCATTGACCCGGGTTGGGTGCAGGATCTTGCAGGATGTTGCAGGGTTCTGCAAGGCCTGACTGACCCGGGCTTGGATTGACCCTGGTCAGAAGGATCCCGAGGGGGGTCAACACTCGACATCACGTTCACAACGTGGCTCTCCAGTGGTCTGGACTTCTTCTCAGGGGCTGGCCCTTCATCCCCGCCGCCTCTCGGCGGCCGCTGGCCAGGGTCCGCGGTGGAGGTGCCAGTCGGGGCTCAGGGGACGGAGGCCAACGTGAACGCAGCTCAGTCAGAGCGCTGGATCTTGCGGGAGCCTCCAGAGCCAGGGGTGCACTGACCCGGGCTTGCGTGCAGGATCCTGCAGGTTTCTGCAGGATCTTGCAAAGCCCGACGGGCCCGGGCTTGCACTGACCCCGGGAAGTCGTCGAGTAGGGGATCGACTACTGACCAGGGCCAGTAGTCGAGTAGCCGATGCATCGGCGATGCAGCGGCGGTGCGGCACGATCTTTCGACCCCATCTGCTCGGGCCCTTTCTGGGAGGCCTCTGATGGGCCTGTTTTCCACCACCACCACCATAAGTTGGAGAGGGGAGGAGGAGGAGGAGGAGGAGGAGGAGGTGGAGGAGGTGAAGGACCCCCTCCCCCTCCAACCTATGGTGGTGGTGGTGGAAAACAGGCCCATCAGCCTCGAGCACTCGAAGCAAATCCTCCGCCCTCGCCGCCGAGAGGGCCCCCCCCCCCGTCCGAGCGCCGCGGCGGGCGCTTTCTGGCCACACCGCTCGGGAAACGGTACAGTGAAATTCCATAGTAGTAAGGACGGGTAAGCTTCCCAAGGGCACCCTTGCGTCCTTAGACTTGTTCAGCAGTGCACCGCTAGAAAAGCATCAACTGGGGCGTCCAAGGACCATTCAAGGGTCTTGCGTCCTTCCAGCACGTCCTTACTACAGATGTTTGGTTGTAGCTATACTATAAGATGGGCATACTGTATGTTTGGGTCGGACGCGCGCCTCCAAGGAGGACATGTCGCGTGAAGTCGGGCGTGCCCCTCCACAGGAGGAATACTCAAGAATCGTAAAACACAGTCAGGGATTGCTTGCTCTAAAAGTTACGTTTGAGTATTCGTATCCGTCGTCCAAACTCCGCCCGTAGGAGGACATGCCCGACTTGAATGATGTAGTACGAGCAGGTCTCTGCGCGCCACCTCGCCTCCGAAGGGAGCCCCCCCGTCCGAGCGCCTCCCCTTGCCAGCCTGGAGCATATCCCTATCCCTATGCTGGGCACCTCCTCATCTTGATGCCAATCTCAGGGACTCTCTTATTTTTTTCATGGCGAATCCCTAAGATTGTCATCGCCTCTGAGCGTGCCAATCTTAGGGATCGGGATACGTTCGAGGCTGGTGATCCCCCGCCCGCCGCTCGGCGAGGCGCGGCCCTCCCGCCCGGCGGCGTGGTCGCCGCAGGCGCCCTGCCCGCGCGCTGCCGCGCCTCGCCGCCGCCGCCGCCGCCGCCGCCGCCCCGTCCTCCTCCCCTCCCCCTCCCCCTCCTCCCAACCCTCCTCCTCCAGTTTCTCCTTCTCCTCCTCCTCCTTCTCGATCCTCCTCCTCCTTCTCCTCCCTCCTCCTCCTCCTCCTCCTCCTCGATCCTCCTCCTTGATCCTCCTCCTCCTCCTCCTCCTCCTCGATCCTCCTCCTCCTCCTCCTCGATCCTCCTCCTCCTTCTTCTCCTCCTCCCTCCTCCTCCTCCTCCTCCTCCTCCTCATCCTCCTCCTCCTCCTCTCCTCCTCCTCCTCCTCCTCCTCAAGGCACTGCAGAAGAAAGGGGTCATCCATGAACGCCAATGCTCCTCCTTCTCCTCCTCCTCCTTCTCCTCCTCCTCTTCTTCCTCACTCTCCTACCCCCCAGAGGTCCGACGCTCCTCCTCCTAGGCCTCTTTCACGGGGTCGGAGCAATTGGGGTCGGAGGATCGCGCCGCATCGCCGATGCATCGCCGAAGCATTGCCGATGTATCGGCGATGCGGCGCGATCCTCCGGCCCCATCTAAGTCCCGTCGAACAGGACCAGGTCGAGGTACGCGCCGAGGCGCGCCGACCACTGCAGACATAATTATCAGGAGGCTGTGGCGCAGGAACTCCAAAGCCTAAGCTGGGCCGCTCGGGGTCCTCAGTTCTGCTCTGCCAGAGGCGTGCCGCTGGTCCCGCGGATCCAGTTGGAGCGGCAGCCAGCGTCGCACGATCGCTTGCAGCCTCTGATGCCAAGTCGGGCGCCCCCGCAGAGGGTGACAGATCTTGGCCGCCTGCTGCTTGGCGTTGAGCCCCGCGGCTTCCCCGGTCGCCGCCGAAGGCGAAGCCGCTGCGGAGGCAGGGTCCTCGGCAGGCTGCCGCTGTGCCCTCCGCGGGGCTGCCTCCGCCTCTCTCCAGCAGGCCTCGGCGCCGCCTGCTCCTGCTCGGTCTCGTTAGCTCTCGCCGTCTCTGCCGCCTGTCCGAGCATGGCCTGGGCTGCAGCGGCGAGCTCGCTCCAGGGCCTGGTCGTTCTCTCGGCCAGCTCCTCCCTGGCGTTCTCGTCCATGTCACATTCTGCGTCGTCGAAGCCGGGCCCAGCGAACGACAGGGGGGGACCTTCAATCGAGCCGTCCCAAATCCCCCGCAACGTTGAGAGCCGCCGCCTCTGAGTGGAGCCTTGACTGACGTCCACCACCTGCGCGTTGAGCTCTACCGCCGACGTGCGATGCTCGCTCTCACGCTCTTCCAAGTCACGGCACAGCTGCTAAACACTTTGTCGCTGCTGCTCCAAACCTTCCTCCAGCCGCTCGAAGTGGCCAACCGCCTTATTCGAGCTTCTGGTTGAGCTCCTGCATCTGCTTGTGGGCCATCGTGACCCGCTGGGACAAGGGCGCCACGTACGAAGCCTCCGCAACCTTCCGCTGCTTCTCGTAACGGACCCGTTTGGGCTTCCCTACGCTGGTCTTGTCGCCTGCCTTCTCCAGCATGGCCACCAGCTGCTCCGACTCCGCGATCTCCATGTTGCCTGCAGGGACATCCTTGGCCAAGACAGACTGAGCTCCAGGTGCCAGAGGAAATGGCACACCACTCGCAGCCTCTTCCCCCTTGCCTTTGCCATTGTCCTTGCCTGTCTTCCCTTCCTTGCCGCCCTTGCCGTCGTCTGCTGTCGCCTGCACCTCCAGGCTCTGGTGCGGTGGCAGGGGCAACATCAGCGAGTTTGTGCCCACAAGCCTTACAGAAGATGCTGCCACGCGTGTGCATGCTGGAGCTTTGCCCACTTCACGCCATCCGTAGAGCTCTCCTGGGCCCCTGTCACGCCAGTCTCTCCACCGCTCACCCCACGATGGGGGCACTCTCTTCCACCACGGAGGCTTGGTAGCAGAAGGAGCAGGAGCCATGGGGCGAGAACGAGGAGGCAAATCTTGGACGTCTTGGAAAAGTACGCTTTCCTCAAAGGAGCTGCTCCAACAGAAGCTCACAAAAAGTGCTGAAGCCAGATGAGACTGGCCGCAGGATCGCAGGCGGGGGCGCGCCTCCCCACGCCTGATTGCCCCTGTCCGCTACAGACTTGAGCCAACATAGCTACGGAGGAGGACGAGGAGGAGCAGGAGGAGGAGGAGGAGGAGGGAGGAGGAGGAGGAGCCAGGAGGAGGCGGAGGAGGAGGAGGCGGAGGAGGAGGAGGGAGGAGGAGGAGGAGGAGGAGGAGGAGGAGAGGAGGAAGAGGATAATGAGGAGAAGGCGGAGGAGACGGTGAAGGTGTAGGAGGAGGAGGATGAGGAGGGCTCGAGGACGAACTTGCTCGTTTGCTTGCTCTGCCTCGCGGGCTGATGGCTCGGACGGCTCGCCCAATCGTCATTTTCATCTCATGTCCTCCTCGGCTTCCTCCTGCTCAGCCCCCCTTTGTCCTCCTGCTCCCCCTCGCTCTCCTCCTCCTCCTCCTCCTCGTCCTCCTCCTCCTCCTCCTCCTCGTCCTCCTCTTCCTCCTCCTCCTCCTCCTCCTCCTCCTCCTCCTCCTCCTCCCCCTCCCTCCTCCTCCTCCTCCTCCTCCTCCTCCTCCTCCTCCTCCTCCTCGTCCTCCTCCTCCTCCGTCCTCCTCCCTCCTCCTCCTCCTCCTCCTCCTCCTCCTCCTCCCCTCTCCTCCTCCTCCTCCTCCTCCTCCTCCTCCTCCTCCTCCTCCTCCTCCCCTCCTCCTCCCCCTCCTCCTCCCCCTCCTCCTCCTCCCTCCTCCTCCCTCCTCCTCCTCCTCCTCCTGTCCCTGCTCGTCTTCCTCTCTGTCCCCCGCCCTCGCCGTCGGCGCCCCCCTCCAACTCGCCTTCCCCCCGTGATCCCCGCTCTTCCTGCCTCCCCCCCTCCTCGCCCCCGACCCCCCCCCCTCGGACCACCCCCGGGCAGGCGCCCCGCGCCGGAGCCTGCCGCGGCGGGAGGCTCGCCGGCCCCAGC